CAGGTGGACAGATCGCGCTCGTGCGTTTCCAAAACGTGTTTCGTGTAATGGCTGCATTAGGTCTCTGAGCCGAGTGTCGTGTATTTGCACCAAATGCTAAGTGAGCCGGCATTAGGTTCTATATTAGAATAGACTAACAGAGAGCCGTGGGGTTTGTGGAGGTCGTTATGGGGAACGCTATTACTGGCCAACCATGCAAATACTAACATCATAAAATAATAGCTCAACATGCGTGCCGCGCATTTAATTCAAACGATTATTCAAGTCTCACATATATACGATGTATGTACTGTGTAATATAACATTGATGATCAAAGAAAACGTCTTTAAAAAATGATGTTTTCTTTTTTGATGAAGGTGATATTAAAACACAGTAATATTGAGACAATAGTAGTATAGATCTGGTAAATCTGATCATGAACACATTATATTGGATACAATGTAAAATTAATTTCAATACTGGACAAAGTTAACTTTTAACCGTGGCATTATCAGTGCAGACAGTGGTAAAGGACTGTTGTCATCATTAAAAAAGTGTACAATTGACTGATATTTTAATATCAGCATGTAGCAAACACAACCTATAGCTGCATAGCAATATATTTTGATGTTAAACAATATACATCTATTGCGCAACCTGTAAATTCACAACGTGAAATATTTACAGCTTACAAAATTTTTATATTCATCCAGATAGAACCTGGCAGAGTCTTTAGATTTATTTTTCAGAAAGGAGATGTTAAATTTTGATTTAAATCTTTCGTGACTGCAGTAATTTATATTCTTAGCTCTTTCGGTAATTTATAATAATAAAATATATTTAATTATTTTATTGTTTCCCTTCAACGTGACTTTACCGAAAGAGCAAAGAATATAAAGGAGATGTTGTTTGGATGTTGAGGCATCATTTTTTTTTTTCGCTTGACAAGGATACCAGAGTACCCAGAGAAACTGTCCGCCCGTGAGAGTAGAACTCTCGAACTCTGCACATATATATGAGCAATCCTTCCTCGCGTGTTTACTGTGGCGCGGATGGTTGATGGGGTATGAGCAATTAGGCTCTCAGCACTCTAGACTACAATCAGGACACGAGAGTTCATAGCTTGGACATGGAATAACTCGGTACGTTACAACACAATTTAGATTAATGTAGTGTCTAAATAAATACAACCGCATATCATCATCCTTTCTGGGTCACTAATACGAGCACCGCTTTTCTGAAATTTGTAAAATCATGGTGACGACTACAAATATACACGTTTGCAAAAACGAATCCTACTCCCGATCAAGACAGCAATTTTTGTAAACTGTTTTTTTCTACTGGAAACCCATTTAGGATGCGGTGATGAGTTTAGATCAATATAGGCTGCACATAATACATTTAATCCAGCTATAGTTATAGCCAGGATGCAATTGTAAAAACAATGCTTTAATATATAATCGGTATACGGAGCAAGCGGTAGCTGTTAAAGAGAAACCATTGTTTCTTGAAAATGGTAAGTTATTTGGCTTCTGCTAACGCATTTTTGGTTCAACAAGTTGTATTAATGGAACCCCGTTAAAAGGATGTCTCATGTAGAGCCTGACCACAGCCACGAGTGGTGGGGATGGTAGTGGAATCAGTAACAATGGTATTGATGGGATGGTAGCGGTAATAATGGTGGAATGGTAGTGGTTGGGTATGATAGTGGTAAGAATGGCAGTAGTGAGGCTGATGGTAGGATGGAGTGGTAGGAGTGGTAGGATGGTATGGTAATGGTAGGGCAGTAATCAAGAGGATGGTAGTGATAGGATAGTAGTGATAGCAAGGTGGCTAAAATAATGGCAGTAATGATGGAAGAACAGTGGTAAAATGGTAGTTAAAAAGATGGAAGTGATGGGATGGTAGTAGTAGGATCGCAGTGGTAAGGATGTGATGGGATGATAACACTGTGTAACAAATTTTTTCTTGTTCCTGGGTAGTAAGTGTTATTTCCTAATTGCTTATGCCTCAAAAGTACAGAAGATGGCTATTATTCCCCCCAACTTTGCTTTTGTGACCAGGGCAGTGATATTTTGAAATTTACCTATTTTCCAGAACATTCCAGATAGATTCAGTGCTGAGTAAACTTGGAGTAACTTCTAGAACATTCTAGAACTTTCCACTAATATTAATAGTAGTAAAAATACAGGGGCCTTAAGCCCACCAGTTCAGTTTAGTTCTAGCTGCCTAAGAGATGGATTTTTCTGAAATGGCATCAAGAGGCTGCAATCATCCGGCAGACGCATTGTGCTACGTCTGCGGCCAATTTATCAAGACAAGGGCAAAAAAGTACTCTGTGGAAGCATCTGCTAAGATGTTTGAGGCCTACAAGGCATATTTCGGCATGCCTGTCGGGGATCAAGACTAACCCTGGGCACCTCATTTCACCTGCGAGCAATGCAAAACGACTCTGGAAGATAAGATGGACAATTGTTTCTCGGAATTTTATGTTATAAAATGTGTCAAAAAAATTCAAATTGTAAAAGTTTTTAATTTTTAAACGTTTCACAATTTTCAATCTCATTGAAAATATATATCATATATTAAAAATGTTGCGAGAATCTCTTACACGTTAGTCATGGGTGAAATAAATGTATTTTTGTAGGATGGTACAGAGGGGAAAAGAGAGCCATGAAGTTTGCTATCACAAGAATTTGTTGGGAACCCACTGACCACTCAAGCAACTGCTACTTCTGCATGGTGGACCTTTCCAAACGTCGGACTGGCAAGAATGCACCTGCTATCACGTATCCGGACCTTCCTTCATCCATCGTCCCGGTGCCACACTGCCATGAGCTCCCCGTACCCACTCCTCCGGAGACAGAGCAGCCGTCTTTAGAAGAAAGCAGCAAGTCAGAGAGCGAGGAAGATGTTATAGATCCAGATGACAATTTCAGAGGTGGAGCTGACGAGAGAAACCCATACTACCCAAACCCAAAAGACCTCAACGACTTATCAGAGATCTTGGTCTCACCAAGTCCAATGCCGAGCTTTTTTTTGTCAAGGCTCAAGCAGTGGAACTTGTTGGGTGAAAGTGTGCAAGTCGCAGATTAGAGGAAACGTCACCAACCTTTTTGCAGCTTCTTCACCCGTCAAGATTCGCTCTGCTTCTGCCATAATGTGACCAGTCTGTTCGAGGCAATCGGAATCTCCTGTAACCAGAATTAATGGCGCCTCTTCATTGACAGCTCATCCAGGAGCCTCAAAGCCGTGCTGCTCCATAATGGTAACAAGTAGCCCGTCTCTGCCCCCGGCTCACTCGGTGCACCTCAAAGAGGATTACAACAACATCAAGACCTTGCTGGATGCCTTTAAGTGTGATCAGTACAGCTGGGAGGTCATCGGAGACTTCAAAATTGTGGCATTCCTGATGGGTCTCCAAGGCGGTTTCACCAAGTTTCCCTGCTCTCTTTACCTTTGAGACAGCAGGGACACCAAGGCGCACTACCACAGGCGGGACTGGCCACAGCGGACCGAGTTCTCTGTGGGGAGGACCAACGTCAAGTGGGAGCCACTGGTGGACCCCCGAAAGGTGCTCATGCCACCACTGCACATCAAATTGGGCCTTATGAAAAAATGTATCAGAGCTGTAGATAAGGAGTCAGCAGCCTTCGAGTACCTTCAAAACTTCTTCCCTAAGCTGTCTGAGACAAAGGTCAAAGCCAGTGTCTTCGTCGGACCACAGATAAAGAAGATCCTGGAGTGCAATTAATTCCCCAAGAAGCTCACTAATGAGGAGAAAGCGGCTGGGAATCGCTTTGTCGCAGTCGTCCGTGACTTCCTGGGCAATCGCAAGGTCGAAAACTATGTGGAGCTGGTTGAGACTCTGGTGAAGAACTCCGGCACAATGGGAGCTGTAGGATGTCCCTCAAAGTCCATATCCTTGATGCTCATCTTGATAAATTCAAGGAAAACATGGGAGCGTACTCGGAGGAGCAAGGCCAGCGCTTCCACCAGGACATACTGGACTGTGAATGCCGCTACCAAGGACAGTAGAACGAGAACATGATGGGAGACTACATTTGGGGGCTGATCCGTGAAAGTGATTTACAGTATAATCGCAAATCTCTAAAAACTACTTCTAAATATTTTGTCTTCATTTTTGTATTACTTTAGGCACTTATTCATATGTTTTTGTCTGACTTTATGTGAACTAAAAGACACAAATTCGCCCGTTCTCTCATTGAAAATTGGTACATTTGAAAATATCACTGTCCTGGTCACAAAAGCAAGTTTTTGGGGAATAATAGCCATTTTCTATACTTTGTAGGCATGAGAAATTACGAAATAATACTTACTACCCAGGAACCAAAAATTGTGTTACACAGTGTAATTCTAGAATGGTAGTTATGATAATGGCAGTTGAAGGATGGTAGTGGTAGGATGGCAGTCGTAGAATGATAGTGGAAGGACGGTAGTGATTGGGATGGTAGTGGTAGGGTGGTAATGGTAGGATGGTGATCATATGGGTCGTCGTGGTAATATGGTAGTGGTAGGAATTATGGCGATGGGATGAGTGGTATGATGATATTGGTAGGATGGCAGGAGTAGATTGGCAGTGGCAGGGTGGTCGTGATAGGATGACAGTAATAGGATGGTAACAGTAGAATGATAGTGATGGGATGGTAGTGATGGAATGGTAGTTGTATTCATGGTAGCGGTGGAATGTATAGCTGTAGTAGAATGTCAGTGGTATAAGGACAGCGCTGGAATGTCAGTGGCTGGAATGGTAATGTTGGGGATGATCGTGAGAGAACGCTAGTTGTCAGGGATGGCGAGCGTGCGTGCATTGCGAGCGAGCGAGCGAGGAGGTGGTGCTGCTGGTGTTGGCGGGTGGTGCAGTTTGTGGATGAGCTGCGTAGATGGAGCATGGCGCGAGGAGGCTGTTGCCCCTCCTGCCTGCGTCGCTCGTGGGCTCTGCGCGCCAGCTAGCGTCGGCAGCGGCGCGCATATCAGGGGGGGGGGGGGGGGCGCTCAGCCCCTGTACCGCCGCGCGTCTCGTGTATAAAAGGCGCTCCCGCTCGTGCATTGTAAGGTTGTTCACGCACCCCGCGCGCTCGTACGAGCGGCGCTCCTCCCCTCCCCCACAACGCACGCAGGGTGGAAGAGACGCGCGGAGATCTACGGCCCCCGAGTCGATCAGCGGGCGCAGTTTTTGTGTGCGTGTGTTTTGTTATTTTTTTTTGTTCAAGTGGGGTTGGGGATGCCAGCCTCTACCAGCGACAGAGCCACGTTTCAAGAGGGATCAGCTTTTCGGTAGCTATTTGGGCTCTTGCTGATACTGCTGCTGCTGCACATCACATCAACTGTGCGACGGAACAAATTCAACATCAGCCGTGCGTGTGCACAGCTCTTCGGGATACGCGGCTGAACTGAGCGGTCGGAGGGAAATTGGGAACGAGGCGTGGATAATTATTTTCTTGGGAGGTGGGAGGGAAACCTTGTGGTTTTGTTTGCGCGGTTGTGTTTGTGTGTGTGTGCGTGTGTATATATGTACACACGCACACACACGCACACACAAACAAGACGAGACTCTCGAGAAGACATCATCAGCCAGAAGCAGAGCTCCGTCTCCCAACAACCGCCGTGGAAGAAGAGCATGAAGGAGGCTCCTTTTACGCATGAGCGTCGCCACGCGCCTACGATGAGCAGCAGCGCGCACCGCCGCCAGCCGCCGCGCACCAAGCCGCCGTCGGGACGATGAAATCGTACGTCTACAGCCGCCTGCTGGTGGTCTTCCCCTGGGTCCTGGTCGTGATCCTGGTCAGCGACTTGGACTTGAGCAAGAGCCGGCTGCGCCACGGCTACTTCCACCACGCGCGGGGCCCCCCGAGGAACGAGTGTTGCAACGCCAGCAGCAGCAGCAGACCGCTCGTCCCCGTGGTGTACTGCATCACCCCCACGTACAGCCGCGCCGTGCAGAAGGCCGAGCTCACGCGGCTGGCCAACACGTTCCGCCAGGTGCCGCGCTTCCACTGGCTCGTGGTGGAGGACTCTGGCCAGAAGACGGCCCTGGTGGGCGCCCTACTGGCCGGCTGCGGCGTGGCGCACACGCACCTCAACGTGGCCACGCCGAGGAGGTTCAAGCGAGCGGGGCAGCCCAGGGCCACGGAGCAGCGCAACGAGGGCCTCAAGTGGCTGCGGAGGAACAGAGCCGCGTCCCGCGACCGGGGGGTCGTGTTCTTCGCGGACGATGACAACACCTACAGCCTGGAGCTCTTCCACGAGGCGAGAGCACGGACACACATGCCACATGCTACACACACACAGTATAGAACACGCGTCATGTATAGACTGCCACGCATGTGCAGCGTGCAGATATTCTACGTAACGGGCATGCGCCACTCGCGCAATGCATCCACATAGGCTACGTGACATTGAGCGGTGGTGCAGCGGTTAGCGCACCGCACACTGTGAACTCTGATACTTCGAATTTTGCCTGGTGAAGTATGGTCAAAACAACTCCCACGATCGACAAGTTTGGGGACGCCCTTGATCTATCGATTGACAAAGAGCTGTGCATTGTTATTGTCGTACTCCTGTAATTCATAACATATACCGTTTATATAATGCGCCGCACACACGCACAGCCTGAGGCTCTTTCACGAGGCCATGGGACGGAAGAGAATGCACGCAACCCCTATAGACCTTACATACTAAATACAGCTGGATCACGTATAGTCTCCAGCTAGAGCCACGCTAAGATATCTAACAGACGTATTTCCACACACACACTCTCTCTTACCGACATACATACTTCGCGTGTTTATATGTATGTGTGAACTTCTTTTGCACCGTACGTAGCCAACCGTGCTAATCGGAGGTGCGGGGAAGGACAACAAACTAAACACAAAGAGGGGTTCTAAAAAAATGAGTATTCAAGCTAGATTTAAAAGTGCATTTCTCCAGTGGCTCCCTAATACACATGCAAACCAATAGACACACCTATTGTATGCTATATACCATTCTCCACGTTTCTTTCGGGAGATATTTCACACAATAAAACCTGGGCTGAAGTGGGTGACATCCGTTGCATTATCAGCCATGATCACTGCACTGCTGGACGAAGACCTCCTCTCCGAACCACCCAGCAGGTTGAAGTCCTCTCGGACGCGTTCGTAGGCGTAGATACGCGCGATGTGCACTTAGCACAAAGAGTAGAGGCTCAAGCTGGACAGCTCAAGTGTACACAAAGACAAAGACCCCCCCACCCACCCCGAATAACCTTTAACGCAGACTGCTGGGTCAAGTGCTGTTCGTGAGTTCCGATGAAGGCATTTGTCTCCCGAGTGCCGATGTCTATAACAATAGGTTTTACCATTTCCGGCAATAAAACAGGTGTTAAGATGTTAAGAGACCAAACGGATTCCTTTTTCACAGAATCTTGTCTGCGTTAACCACGCGTACTTATGGTGAACATGCAAACAAAAAAAAACATACTCTGATAATATATTGGCATTGTCTTTGAAACTGTTTGATCCACACCAGAGACAGTTTTCTTTTGAGCCTCGTCTCAAACAATGCAAGACCAGAGAACGCCGAAAGGCGAACAGCACAACGACAGTGCCACTATCAGGGCGTTTATAGCTCGGGGTGAGCAGCTACATAATGGAACCTTTGCCTATGTTAAGTCAGGCATGCGTTTAAGTATGACAAGAGGCAAAGACCTCCCGGATAGCCTTAACAGACTGCTGGGGCAAGTGCCGTTAGTGAACACCGATTAAGGCCGGCACGGCAGCCAGCAACCACCCCCGGCCGCCTCTGTCTCCCTCGTGGCGATGTTTTCACACCGCACCAGGTACTCATTTGAGGCTGAGTCGACCTAGGAGAGGCCCAGGGCCGGTTGCGATAATCGTCACTGGCGTTGGCCGTGAGAGGCAATCGGACACGGGTCATTTGAGTATGCACGCAGACTAATAAACAGACTCTGAACGACGCCAGCCAGAAGATCAGAGACACGAATACATACGCTTACATTTCAACGCAAACTGCACGCGGATAGCAGTCTCTAACAACGGAGCGTGTTTTACACACACACACTATATATACACAATGCATGTGAAAATCCACGATGGCTCCAATTTTAGTGTGAACATTGTCATTGAGTGTGAATGTGTTGCTTGCTGCATGCATACCGCAGCGTATGCACGCACGTTCACACTGCAATCCTCTCGAGAACTTAGTCATGCGCATTGTAATACTTACAGCTCAGTGTACAGACAAAGATCCCCCATATAGCTATTAACGTACTGTTAGCGAACACCAATTAAGGCCGGCACGGCACACGACACTACGCCCGGCCGCCTTTGTCTTCCAATGTTGATGTTTACACACCCGTAACCTCATTTCAGGCTGAGTCGACCTTCGGGAAGACCAGGGCCCGTTCAAATTTTTGCCACTGTTTATTGGTGGGGTTTGTAGCACAGTGCGCTCGCCACTGCATCACCGCTCAGTGTATAGAACAGGAGACACGCATATAAAAGAACATTCAAAACACAATCTCCAACAGCTTGTTTTTTCTTACAATGTGCATCAAAAAAAATGCAATGCTCATGTTGAGTGGAACAGGCTGCACATGTACGCTAATCTCACGGAGCGTTTGAATTGCGCCTCCATGCTTAATTTGGCCCATTCTGAAGCCATCCCGGTAAGGTTGTTTATTACGCAATCGCGCCGTAGCCACGATCATCGACTTTTAAAAAAAATGAACAACCGTTGGAGACAAAAAAAAGAACCAATTTCTGCAACCGCGCTCTGAAACCAGCGAGGCTTAGCGGGCGGTATATCATCACAGGGTTACAACATCCGTACTATCTCTTGCTCTTGATAGCTATATACCACGAAGTGCACAGTTTTCATATCATCATTAGTCCACTGCTGGATGGATGACTTCCCAAGCCGCCGCCACCAGCACCTCTCGTGATCCCGCGATGGAATAAACCACCCAGAACCTGCACGTGAAATGAATGAATTCATCGCTTCATCTCCTCAATGGGCGGCCTCTCTCTCGGACGTGTTGTTCTATTCATTGGTTGAAACTCCGTAATTGTTATTGACCATCGGTCACTATCCCTTCTCGCGACGGGTGCAGTTGCATAGCGTCAAATGTCATTTTAAACAATGCGTAAATCAGACATAAATCGCTCAAAAGCGTGACTTTGGTTATATCAGTCACATGCAGCTCTTCGCGGTTGATCAATTAACATGTCACGCGTGCATTGATGTGAAGGTGCAACGCCGCAATTCCTTGCTCATGCCACTGCTGGCTTGAAAGATCTCCGCTAGATGGAGCTCAGTGCATTTGGCCTACTCTTCCACGCTGACCTGACGGCTTCGGAGTACCCACGTTTTACCTCACGTCACGAGACCTGTCGTTGGACTTAATGCGGTGTCACCATTTATACTGCTGCTTGAACAGAGGCAGAGACGTTAAGGACACTTGCGAACCAGCGGTCTCTCGGTTGGGAGTCCACAATGATATTACCCTACGGCACAAATCCCAGATAATACTTATCAATGTGTGAACTTACACTGGAGTGTGAGGCTGAATGGGAACGAGAGATCCACAATGCGCCGATATACAGGGTGACCGAAAAGTCAGGAAACGTAGGATTATTAAATTTAGTTTAACACTGCCATTTAAATGTTTAATCGATCATCCTTTAACTGGAGTTGATGTTTTATCTATTATCATTATTAACATCACAGTTTCTTCTCTCCGTGGGGTAACCTCAAATCAGTTGTTTATCAAACTCGACCAAGAACTCTGAACGAATTGAGACAAAACGCAATTGATGGATGTTCAAGGATTACACCGGTAATCTTTAAAACAGTCCTAAATTCATTTCAAAACAGAATCCATGCGTGCATTAATGTTAATGGAAGTCAATTTCAATTATTTGAATATACATGAAAACGTTCTACGTGATTTGTTAAAAGACGTATAATAACCCAATGTGTCCTAACTTTTGGGGCACCCTGTATAGAGTAAACTCTATACACGGGAATATGATTTAGGACAGGATCGGTGCTGAAGCTCCTCTCACTGCCCACGGGCTGGGCACGACACTAGACGACAGTGCGTGAGCAGAAGGTGTGGCTCGTATTCACTTTCTCCGCTGCTCCTGGTACTCAACTTGACCCTCCTCCTCCGCCTCTTCATCCTCTCTCTCTCTGTCCCGCAGATTCGCAGCGTCCGCCAGGTGGGCGTGTGGCCCGTGGGGCTCGTGGGCGGACGGCGCTACGAGCGGCCCCTGGTGGAGAGAGGCCGCGTCGTGGGGTGGTACACGGGCTGGCGGCCCGACCGGCCCTTCGCCACCGACATGGCAGGTTCGTCCAAGTTCGTGCTCCTTCACTCGCTCGGGTTGCCTTCATGTGGAAACGTAGGGGGGGGGGGGGGGGAACGCTTGTCAGGCTGATGTTGTGCGTCAGTGCGCTGTCCATGGTGCTGAAAGGCAGCAGTGCATTTACTTTATCCTAAGCGTGTCGTATAGAGCAACAACGTGCTGTGTAAGGCAACACAGGTACATTCTCATATGAATTGTGTAAAGCCGCAAGACGCTGTTCTTGATTTCCCATGCCATTCCGCTATTGATACCAGTAATTAACATTGGACCTTAATCATCTTAGAGGTGTGTCTTTAGTCTTTGAGCCTGGCACAATTGCAAAAGCATCCCAATACTAATAAAGGTGCCTTAGTCTATCTCTCTGCACGTTGCTGCATGAATCTGTGTATATGTTTGTGTCGTGCAGCATTGCTTTGTGTGTAGTGTTGAATAGCGACGAAGCAGCTATGCTTGGCTTAGGCCCTACCCTGCCCTCTTTATCCTTGCAAATATTGATCACTCATCAGCCAGCCCGTATCACCCTTGCATCTCTTGCCTTTTCCTTTCAACCTCAGGCCCCCCTTTCGTGCTCACCCCTTCTTGACCTTGTTTTTCAGCGGGTAATGTGCATTTGTTTAATGGCGATGGCATCCTCAGTTGCAACTGTAAAAATCGCCGCGTATATTTGATCCTGGGATGAAACATGTAAATGTAACAATCCTCTAGACACGTCCACATTCAGCGGGTTTTTGAACAGTTATGTGACGAATGATATTAAATAGCATATTCATGTTTTTGCTCTAGCGCTTAGTTGAAGACGATGTAATGTAACTGACTGGTATTTTCCACCTGCTGCTAATCCATTCGTTTGTGTGCAGGAGCGAGTTAGATTGGGGCATTGCTTCTGAACCTCAATGAATGGTGACGGCATGGAGGTGCCTTTCATCCTGAAGCGGACAGACTATGGCTGATGACGATGATGGACATGTTTGTTTAATCCGAGCTGGGTTGAGGGATAACCAATGTTTACGTGCTAAACCCACAAAGGCCAATCCCGTCCGAGTTTACGAATACAATTCATTTTGAAGTCCACTGTGAATAATTATCTTCCGCTGAATGAAGGCCTCCCCAAGCCATCACCATCTCTCATGATCACGCTACGCAACAATCTATACCGAGCTCCGGCACACGAGCTAATTTTTTCGCTCCATCTTCACGGTGGACGTCTTCTCGGGTGTCCTCTGTTCTTTGACTGCTACTCCATCGTTGGTCTCGACCACCGGCCATGATCCCTTCTTGCGACTCGTCCTGCCCAAGGCCATTTCTCTTGTGTACGCTCTGTGATCCACGTGTTCCGATTTCTGTCCCTCTGTGTTATTCCAAGCATGATTCTCTCCACACTTCCTTCCTTCCTTACACATCTCTCAGCTTTTAATTAATTATCTGCGTCAAAGTCCCTGTTTGTGATCCGCACGCCATAGCAGGTAATATCCACGTGTATAGATTTATTTTAATGCATTGTGCTGCACTCGATATTACATATGGCAATGGTGAATATAACTTTGAAGTCATACCCTGATGGACAATGCCGTATAACCGTGTGTGACCGCTTCACGAAATTGCTCTCTCAGAACCTCGCCCCCTGCTGGTCAAGCTGCAGACGGAACTATTTCTGTAAACCTTGTTAACGTATTATAAACTTGTCAAAGATTGGACCTGAGAATACCACTGATGGTGATGTAACAACAACAACATTCAGATGTAGAGAAAGAATAATAATACTCATCATCACAATTTTTACTATCATGGTCAACAGTCAAACATCCAACAAAGTGGTAGTGTTTGCCCACCAGGATTTGCAGTCAATCTGGAGGTCCTTCTCTTAAACCCGAAAGCCGTGTTCAAGAGGAGAGGCTCGCAGCCCGGCATGCAGGAGTCCGACTTCCTCAAGCAGATCACCACCATGGAGGAGCTGGAGCCCAAGGCAGATAACTGCACCAAGGTGAGACGCTCGCTACTTAAACAAAAAAAATCTTTTAATGTAATTATATATAAAACAAAAAGCGTGAAAGATGCATGCTGAATATGAAGTAAATGTATGCAAAATTATTCAGGTTTACAATTACTTTTGAGCCACCACAATGGGTTTTTTTGCATTGATATAATAATTATATGTTTTAGTGATACAATTTTCACGAATCAAGTTATACTTGCTAAATATATGATAGTAGAAGTATATTAGAAACATAAATGATTTTTAAAATGATGATGAGAATGTTTTACTTCAAAAAAATCACATACTAACCCAAAACACACAAGTAAAAAAAAACATTCCCCGAAATTATATACAAATATATACAAATATTGAGATAAAATTAAACAGCATGCTATTATAAATTAACGCATGAAACAAGGGAAATGTAACCCTTACTGATAACAATGGGAGTTGTTTTTTTCTTCTCAGAACATGGCTGATGTTTGGCCACATTTGAAAACGGAAATATTGAATAAAAAGTGAGGCAATCTTTTTTAAGACAAAAGCCAATATGCTAAGCTCTGCCATTTATTTAGTTACAAATTGTAGTCAAATAAAAAAAAACATTGTTAAAAGGCAACATAACAAACACTATGGGGTGTACGGTCAGTGGGATTTTTAATACAATCATGTGGCCCACTCAACAATGGGGCTGTGATGAATTCTTGAACCGGAATCGATTAATCGGATTACGCATGCGTGGAATTGAGTGTGTGAGAAACGATTGCAGTCTCTGTAATCGATGTTAATTATGTGCAAATGTTACATTAAGGCTAATGAGAAGGAGAAAGACGCCAGAAAACGAACGAGTGAGACAACAACAGTCGATATTTGAGAATGAATTTGTGATGTCGAATCTTGGCAATAGCTTATTCATAGCTGGCTGAATGGTAGTCACATGTTAGCAGACGTTGTAAGCATGAACACAATTGCAATGCTTGCAAGCAAGGATAGGGTAAAGTACTCATTGCTATTTTATATCGACTGTTTAATTATGGTTACCATGTAGTTTTTCTCTGCCACAATTGAATCACAATATTAATATTTAGACACTTAAAAAACAATTGGTTTGATTAAATTTTAGTTTATGTTTTATGGACAGATGGTGAAGGTATTTTATACGCGTTATTATTAGTGTTTCCCTTAATGTAAAAATCAATGAATGTCAACCTTAAAAAAAAGTAGATTGGACATAACCCAATGTCATAATTTTGTTACAATCTGATTTTCATTTTGATCGTTTTCAATTGTAGAAATATTAAGCCGCCCTCTCAAATCAGTAGATTGGATTGGTCAGGGATTGTGCAGTTTCCAATTACAACCCACACTGATGATACACCCAGACAAACAACACGTTTTCTTATTTTCGTTACATTTAAACTGTGTTGTTCACACAGAATTAACGACCTACATATATATAGAGAAATAAAATGCCCCAATCACAGAACAAGGACTCAATTATTACATTATTCACTGATTTGAACAATTCAAGACTGGTTGGGTTCTTACTGCAAATGTATTCATTGTCCACTGATTTTATTGCAAAATCGTAACCAAAAATGGAAAGGCCAACTAATCACATGAGAAAGCCAGGTTTATCATCGACCACACACACACATATATATGTACTGTAAGATTATGGGAAATACAAATGAATATCAAATTCAATTATTCATGGCCTTAGTCGATAATTAAATGGCATTTTAATTCGTGAAAACTGACATAATCCTCAAAGATATCACAAACCGAGGCCTCAAATAAAGCATACTTTTGAACCATTTACAAAAATACAACAGCAACACTGAGATTTCATGAAAACACACGTACGTATTATAAGGGAGTAAGACAAGGAGATACGATTTTGCCAAAGTTATCCATGGCGACATCAGAATGTATGTCCTGAAAATTGCATTGCAGTAATTTAGGCATGAACTTAATTTGATAAGATAGCCATTTCGGAGTGGATGATGAGTTATGAACGATGTGAAATTATAGAAGAACGCTGTAAAGCCGGGCCTTGGAATGCATGTGAGCATTAAAGTACACGTCCAATGTAGTTATAGAAAGTGGACTTGGATAAAACTTTAAATCAAGAGGCTGACGAGATCGGTTGGAAAACTGAACCTGGCGATGAACAGAAACATAGCAATGTGCCTGAACAATCACGTGGTATGCATCAGTGTAGATTATCTGGATAAACATTGACAAAGAAAAAGGGAAATATTTCTAAAAAGTGCACCAAGAAGTATGGCCAGGTATGTATGTTGAACTTCTTTCGCGCCGTACGTCGCCAGCCATGCTAATCAGAGGTGTGGGGGAAGGACAACAAACTAAACACAAAGAGCGTTTCTAAAGAAATTAGTTTTCTATTTAGATTGAAGAGTGCATAGCTCCAGTATCTTCCTAAGCGGAGCACATGGATTTGAGAATACGTGCGAGTTAGAGTCAAGTTAGAGGCATTCAAATGACTGTTAAGAGACGTAAGTTAGCGTGGGTAGAACATTGCTGCAAGAGGAAATCATCACCGGTGGTCAAGACTGATGATGGAGTGGCAGCGAAAGGAGGGAACACACCCAAGATGATGTCGAATGAAGAGTGATGAATCAGATCCTGTTCCAGGGGCTAGGTGTATTGTTGCATGGTAGTGAGGGATGGCCATTGGCTTTTGCCAAACTATCACTTAAAATATTTTTCTGAAAAAAAAAACCCGTTAAAAAAACTTAATCTTAAACATCTACAAAAGGTCTGTGATTTATGTTTAATAAAAAAGACCAATAACATTTCCCTAAATTGTGTTTTTGCTGTAAATAATTGTCTAGTTATCATACGAAAACTGTTTATATATGTATATAAAATAATACTTACTATCTACATGGTTGTGACAATCTCAGAAAAATGGCACCGTGGCCCATTACACTGAGTGACATCTAAATGCTAAGTGTCAACTAATGTAGTCCTTAGCCTCTCTTTTACGAACCCACATTGACCAGTTATGGTGTGGAGAAAGCCTTCAGCCAGCTTCAGAATAACAAAGGAGTTATGTTATGATGTTAAATATATACTTATCGCCAATTTTTTTTTAAATCTAATTTTGGTGATTAAATATTTACCTGTTTCATTGGCCACAAACGACCTTACGACAAAGGACCTAATTTTATGCTCATTATATTTAAGTGAATGTTCACAATAAATTAGTCTTCATGGTTAATATACCTATATTGAATAAAAACTACGTTAAAACCCAATAATGTTAAATCCTGGAATTTATTTTCACAAAAAACAGCCACATTGTCCTCTATTTTATATATATATATAAATAAATAGACCCTTTATGACATATGCAATATTATTAATGTTGCAAAATTATGTCACGTTTACTGAGCAAAAATGCGTAATTCTTTTTTTAGTGTAACAGTCTTGTTTTTTTTTACAAATACTGACAACAAATCCTCTCTTGCGCTTTATTTTAAATAAAATAAAAAAAACTTTAAGAAAAATCGTTGGACCATTGCATTATATACAGCTCTGTAATTGTTCTTTGCTACAATGGCCTTAGCCCTTCGTTGTTGTGATGACAATTGCTATATACACTACATATCGTATCGTGACTAAAATGAGGAAAATACGTGAAAAATTACACGCCCAAACCATGTACCTTTTTTCATTGGCAATTAAAAAAAAACTCGTATTTATCTTTGTTAAAAACATACTGACTTTTTCCTGCTATTTTCTTTGTATTATTTACTGAAAACTCTAAACCAATAATGTGCTGCATGCTTAATATTATTGTGAGTAAAATCCAATAATATTACCTAAAAACAACAATGCTAGTAAAATAACAAGCCAAACATGTTTCACGACATTCAAATAAAACAAGCTGGAAGCCATTTCAAATGAGGATATTGACTCTTCAAAGAGAGTTGTGCACAGATAGAGGCAAACACCAATGTCTCGTGAAGCATACATTAGGTGCACATGTGTACATCAAGGGACACAAGTTTTACTGCTTGCATGCAAAATGGGACCGTTAATGACTAAAAACTTTTTTTTACCCTGCCTATTTTGCCCATTGATATATGTATATTGTCAGATAAACTGCATTACAAATGGTTTAGGGGTTTTGTTAATCAACTCGTTAAACGCACGTGAAGTTGGACGAACAGATTGACGAATGGATGCATGGACATATTTCCTAGCAATGGAAATAACATGTTCGCTTTGGAATATAATTTGAGTCAGGCTACAGGCCTTACATTCTGCCAGTAACAATTAGTCCACAAAGGCCTTAGGTTGATGGACTAAAATGTTGTAGTTTTATTTTATGGCATTCCTTGTCTGTTTGTTATTTATATTATTACCTGCAATCCAATGTGACATCATATTATTACATTTTCACAGCATAATGTGAATTTTTTGTTTTCATGAATAACAATATGTAAATTTTCTGTATCTTAAATTGGCTCAATTTCAAATAAAACATGAAAATTATCAGGGTCAAAAGGAACCCAATTTGTTTTCCCTCATATATCACTGAAAACAACAAAGCAGCTGATCACGTATACTTGCTTAATATGTTACGTGTTAAGAATCTTTGTAACACTTTTTTTACCCAACAAAAAAAAACATACTCGCGGTTTTCCTCATCTAGAAAATGTATGTAAAAAAGACTATTATTTGTCAACATGTATTTTCTCTTTCCCCCCCCCCACCCCCCTAGAATGATAAAATAATTAGGGCGTGATTCACTTCTCTGCCAATGCCAAATGAGGTGTCCTGGCTGCGCCCTTGCTAGCTGCTTCCGAGCACCACATTCAGATCCTCATAATGGCCTAGCCGGTAACGCCTTGCCCCCTTCCATGCTATACCCAACACAATACGATATTAATTTTCACAATATGACAATTACAGTAGCATGATATCCGATTCCTATAACTTTGTAGTAGTATCTAGCAGTTTTGTTGTATTGATTTTGTGTATTGCTGTCTTTCCATTACAAATAAAGATGACTCAAAGGTTTATTATGTTGAGTGAACTGCTTTTGCAACTTCGCAACCTATAATGCTTAATACGCACACGCTATCACCGATGCGAGAAATAACTCATTAAATCAACTACCGCAGTAGTCCAGGCTCACTGTAAGCTGTGGTGCGGGAAAACAAGCATGTTTCGTGCACACATCTAATTATTGTCTTTATCATTTGACATTTATTTTGCCAGAATGAAGGATGTCGAAAAAACGGTCACGACAATTAGCAAAACGGACGATACGATTATCGTGGACCTTGTCCTGTATGGTCAATTGTAGTATTACCTTTATGGGGCCGACCCTAATAATAATAAAAAAAACAACGGGTAGAGCCGACACATGGGCTGGCTGTCCTGGGGTGTTGGTGCTAAATACTACGCGCGTACAATGGAAATGATTTTCAGAAATGTTTAGCACCATTAGTCCGCGAGCCCAGACTGGATGTTTCACTTGTCGAAACCACCTGAAGTGGCATAACTTTAGCTATTCCAAATGCTCAATGTGGCCAACAACAGTGAATTATGTGATAACAATTTGAAGCGAATAGCCGTATAAATAAAATGGCTCTGCTCACCTTTTACTACCTGAGGCAGTACCAATTTCCCCGCTAGCCCATGGATTACTCGTAAGGGACTCCTGTTGATCTCAAGCGTCGCTGCTGGTGGTACCATGGACAGCGCAGCATTGCCACCTTGCAACGCCACAGTGAGCAGTTTGGTTCGTGATATGGAGACACCACATATCTATAAGGTCCACGATAATTATAATGTTTTGCAAAATATTGTGTTTGTCATTGCTCGTTTATTCTTTATTTTATTCCCTAACCAAATAGTTATGAAACGACAAAAGCACAATACTGACACTTCTAAATATATAGCGTTTGCTAAATAATTGAGTGCTGAGTACAATGTATTAAAATTGACAGCTCAGTGGTTATAATTTTGTAGTTGGGTTGATTATTTAATTACTCCTTGTGTCATTAACAGCAAGTGCGTTATAGGTTGTCAAGTGGCAGGCCTAAATTCATACTGGAAGTACAGCAAAGCTAAAAAAAACGAGACTGTAAAAATGCTAAATCCTATTACAAATATATTGGAAAACTGATACCATGAAAATACATCAATCCCTCATCACGTGAAAATTGTCATCATCACGTGAAATATTACATCGCGGCAACCCGAGCGAGTACGACAACGGCACTCTGCGGAAAGGTGCATGGGGCCAGGCAGCACGTTGACCGCTGGTCGAGTGGGGGCTCAGAGGGTGATTGAGACACAAGCACGTGCCACACTACCAACACCGTGCCGCCAACCCCTGGTGTAAAATTCCCACCAGCTCGGAGCTGCAATGGGAATCTGTTGGGCGCGCAAACTCTCATCCGTTACACCCACGCCCACTATCGTGGTCATCTTATTCTTATGGCTGATGTTGATGAGTCAAACAATTATCACTGTGATGCCTCATTCGCGTTTAAGATTCGGGCATTGGGTCGTTGTATGACTCATTGTCCGGTCTGGCTGATCACAGTCACATACCGGAGAATATTTCATGTCCTATATGGCTCATAACTGTCGGTCCTGTGAGAATTAGAAGATATGATTATCATAGGAACGCAACAAAAAATGGTTGTTGGCTACTAGTTCCTGTCATAATTGCGATAAGATTACTGGTGAGATGTGAATCACGTACTTACTGTATAGTAAGGTACTTTTTTTTGAACAATAGATTCAGGAAAATGTATACCTTGAGAGAGACATCATTTACTTAAGTTGTTTTGGTGAAAATTTGAATTGCGTTGATATTTATTACAGTGCATAAACCTAACAGCATTTAAAAAATACAGCTGACCGAGCTCTCGCCGAGCTTCACATGTCTTACATTGACATGCTAATCTCTCACAATACAATGGCCACCCCCCACAGCTCCGTAGTACCTCTGCCACACTGGCATTAGCTGCCCCGCCCATCTCTAAACCTTTATAAGCATCCTGCCTCGGCAGATTTCCCCCTCTTTTTCACCTGAAGACGATTGCTTGTGTTGCGATCGAAACGTCGTGATATTATTATTCTTGGTTCTTTCGGTAAAGTCACGTAGAAGGGAAACAATAAAATAATAAAAATATAAAACAATTAAATTCTCACGACGTTTCGACTGCAACACAAGCAATCATAATCAGGTGTGAAAACCACAGAAAGAAAATGTGAAAAAAGTGGCGTTATTTAAAAAAAAATGTTGCTGTGGTTTTCACACCTGATGATGATTGCTTGTGTTGCAGTCGAAACGTCGTGAAAATTGTATTGTTTTATACTTTTATTATTTTATTGTTTCCCTTCTACGTGACTTTACCTAAAGAACCAAGAATATGAATCCCTGCAGTCACGAAAGCTTTAAATCAAAATATTATTTTGATTATTTTTTTCTATCAAGGTGGCTTTACCGAAAGACCCAAAGAATATACATGATAACTTTTGTCAAATTATTGCTCTTCTGTTCCCAACCTTAATGGTTAATATGCATGCTAAAAGCCAATTAAAAAAAGTACATTTGTTTTCACATTCTGAGCGTAAATGTTCCGGCTCTCAGGTATACGTAACCTCATATTTCCCCCCTCAATAGACCAACTCGCTCCCTCACCACACTTGCACGTTTGCATTGCCCGTTTCACCTGAGCTGGCTCAGAAACATCCCGAATTGTGACTCCGTTTAACTCGAAGCGTTGCTCTTTTCCAGGTTCTCGTGTGGCACACGCGGACAGAGAAGGCAAACCTTGTCAATGAATCGCGAGATAAACAGGAAAAGATTTATATCGAGGTGTGACGGGAGGGCACCTCAGGCGAGCTGCCGACTCTTCCCCCTTTGCCTTACGGACGACGTTTCGCTTTTAAGAAGAAAAATAATGCTTATTGCACTGCTGGGACTACCTAATAAAGCTGAAGCGCAATTCCCCCAATTCCCCAAAAATAACTGGAATGCCAACCCAACTTGCCACACTTTCCCTCTCCCCACCTCGTATTGTTTCAAGCCCCTTCCCGGTTTTGTTTTGAGAAATCGCCGGGGTTATTGTGAAAGCGACGCTTGACGACTTCATACTGGAACACTGAATGGAAGAAAGAAAAATGAAAAAAGACAACGAATGCAAAGTAAACCTCACAAGGGATAAATGGATCACCTTTTCCCCTTCTCAATTCCCTTCAGGGCTACGTTAGAATGTGCACAATTCAGCCTAATTAAAATACGTTTGGAGTCCCATTATTCTCTACATATTAATGAAATCTGTCACTGGAGGATGAAATACGAGTGTCATTGATTGTCATTACATAATTGTACATACCGTATGTTGGTTCCTATGTGGCACAGTTTAGAGAGTTAATATTGCATGTAAGATGGAAAATGATCCTATTTATATGTAAATTTTGCACAGTTTACATTAGAACCCACGGCTAAAGGAAGTCTTTTGATACAACTGGTAGTCTGTGATAATGGATTGTTGTCATATATTGGCTTTCTGCTTCCTTTCCAGCTTTGAATTTTTTTAAATACATTACACAAATTGTAATTGCAAATGATTTTTATGGAAAGTTACAGGGTTGAGAAAGGAACGTGTGAAATGCATCTTCTGTGGCTTATAAACGTGTTTCGAATAGCTAATCTTACAAAGTCTTGTGATCTGCTCATGCAGCGGGGGTGGAAAACAAAAAAAACAAGGCACGGGAAGAATGAATGAATGACTGGAGACCTTGTCAGCTCAAAGTCACGCTCAGCGCACCCACCACAGGCAATGCCTCATTGCTACGATCCTTTTAAATAAAGACCGCTGCTTAGACTACGATGGCGGACGCACAGCAGAACAAACGTCTTAATTGTGCGTGTGGCTTTTGGAGGAGCGTGAACAATGCGAGGTCTGAACCACAACTGTTAGTTGACCAGTGGCTTCCACTGCAAGGTCCATATGACTACAGTAAAAGCGCTCTCCGTATTTTGCTGCCCGTCTGCTCAAGTGTTGTGGCTCACATTACTCCAACTCAAGCTGGCTTAAGGGGAAAGTTGCACGTACAATTTCTGCACAAACGCTGCCCAGCCACTACCGTCAAACGCTTTTTTTTTGCCCACGGTGCCCCAGGAAGATTTTCCCTGTTGGTTTCAGCCCGAGGTTAATATTTTGATGGCCATCTTGGCATTGAGCGGATTCATCCTCCGCGTGTCAGTATCACGTCGTTTTCAATGTCTCATTATTATTGACGGGACGCTGTCGCGGTGCAATTGTTTGCACACTGGGCTTACAATCCAAGGTACGTCAGAAGATGAAACAATGGTAAAAGTGTATTAAATCTCTTACACTCAGAATTGTAAATGGATGAACCGCAGTTAGTCGATTGGCAGGTTGCCACAGTTTGGCCTCATGAAAGGCTCTCTTGAAGGGTTCTTCAAGCCTTCTGGCAAACGTGGCATGAGTACGTACTTTCAGGGCTGCGCCTTTATATTTAGTACCACCTAATTTGCATAATTTTTCCTATTCTGTCATGTTACGAGCGTAATTATCTCCATCAGCCCTAAATTAAAATACACAGGATTTGCGTGCAATGTGTACATTAAAAAAAAAACATTTTTTACGCAATTCAATGTGAGCATAAGAATACATTTTAAGAGACACACTGAAGAATCATTACACGCCACACATGCAGAGGCTGTACTTTTCCTTTCACGTGACCGAGGCATGGAGGAATAGGTCTGTAATTTGAGGAAATGGCCTTGCTGAACGTCTTTTTGATTCCGCTGAGATTTGGCAAAATAATTGCACCAGGTACTCTACGCACTCGAGGCTGAGTAGGCATAGGGGAGGCCCGGAAAAAAAGTGTTGATACTACTTGCCACTGATGTTAGCCATGGACACATGTACTCACAACAAAGACAATGACCCCCTGAAAAGTCTTAACTGATTATTGGGGCAAGTGCAGTTCTAGCAACACACACAGTCAAGTACTCACAACAAAGACCCCCCCCCCCCCCCCCCGTATAGCCTTAACTGACCTTTGGGGCAAGTGCTGTTAGCGAGCACCTATGAATGCCGGCACGGTACACGAGGCGGAGGGTGGCCAGTACCACGCCTGGCCACCTTTGTCTCCCCAGCGGCGATGTTTACACACCCCACCAGCTACTCATTTTAGGCCGAGTCAACATGGGGGAGGCCTAGGACCGGTTCAAATAATCGTCACTGGTGTTGACCGCAAGCAGAAATCGAACTCTGGTCGCTGGGTTCGTACCGCAGCACCCTAACCGCTGCGCCACCGCTCTCCATACGCACACAAATATGCACAAAGGCACGCGCAGAGCCGAGAGAACACCACACTTTATTTGACACGTTTTTTTTCCCGGACAATGTTTCACTGATATAATGCACAAGCAGCTGTGATATGCACACACCAACTCAATATTGCAATGCGGCCTACTTCGGGCTGAGTTATACTGATGGAATGGGACATTCTTGCCATGTGCTGAAGGATGCTAAGGGCAAATGGCTATGTTTTCCAATCTAACATAGGGTCTCAATATTGGACCGTTAACCACTGTATCGATAAAACTGAAGATAACACAATTTCTAACATTTAATAATGGTTGCACATCAGCCTTCCTGAGTATGACGATTACTTATTAAAGTGAATAACGAATCAAACCAAGAATACCACATGGAATATATATCTGAAGTACATGTCACAAGGTGTACAGCCGAATGGCTGCTAAAGGAAGAATGGTCAATATGAAACAAAACATAAACCACAGTATATTCAACGCAAGTGTTTATACATGGCGCGCATCCATAGGGGTGAGAACTCTTCGCATTTGTTTCTGGATTAGCACACAGGACGTTGGCAGGGCAGCACCACAACAGGGCACCTACTTCATGTTTGTTGTTACTCGTGATACCTGTTTGAGGTTGAAATGGGAGAATCGGAGGAAATCACTTCAGCACAAACTTGACTTGAAACGTTGGCGTTGTGGCCAACATTGAACGCAGTTACACTGGGATCTTTGCAGTACGTTAGCCACTCGTACATGTCTCACCCCTATGGTTCGGCACAGCCGAGACAAATCTTATGCAATACTCCCATCTTGATGTTCAAGGAAACAAAAGGCTGAATTTTTCACCATTAACAAGGCCAATAAAAAAACACAACGTAAAACACAGATATCACATAGATACACAATGCGGTGCCCTTCTTTAATGTCAGTGCAAACTAGCAACACAAACGAAAATAAATGGTTTACAAAAAAATTGTGCTTTCGAAAGCCGAGTAAGTTAATTGAGTTACACGAGTGTAATACGCAAAGAGCAACCTGGGGCCACACACAGTGTCTACATGGAAACGGGCTAAGGTGGGGAGAAAGACGAGGGATATGGGGTAAGAGGACGGAAGGAAAACAATCTTGGGAAGACGGGATGACATTGGAAAGAGGCAAACAATGTTTAACATTTTAGCATGTAAAACGAATGTTATGTTATGAAGAAAAAGGTGTAAGTGAAAGACAAGTAACGCCGACAGAATTTTCTGCCTCACGATACAGTGAGGGAAAAAAGTATTTGATCCCCTGCTGATTTTGTACTTTGCCCACTGACAAAGAAATGATCAGTCTATAATTTTAATGGTAGGTTTATTTGAACAGTGAGAGACAAAAATTCAGAAAAACACATGTCGAAAATGTTATAAATTGATTTGTATTTTAATCAGGGAAATAAGTATTTGACCCCCTCTCAATCAGAAAGATTTCTGGCTCCCAGGTGTCTTTCATACAGGTAACGAGCTGAGATTAGGAGCACACTCTTAAAGGGAGTGCTCCTAATCTCAGCTTGTTACCTGTATAAAAGACACCTGTCCACAGAAGCAATCAATCAGATTCCAAACTCTCCTCCATGGCCAAGACCAAAGAGCTCTCTAAGGATGTCAGGGACAAGATTGTAGACCTACACAAGGCTGGAATGGGCTACAAGACCATTGCCAAGCAGCTTGATGAGAAGGTGACAACAGTTGGTGCGATTATTCGCAAATGGAAGAAACACAAAAGAACTGTCAATCTCCCTCGACCTGGGGCTCCATGCAAGATCTCACCTCGTGGAGTTGCAATGATCATGAGAACGGTGAGGAATCAGCCCAGAACTACACGGGAAGATCTTCTCAATGATCCCAAGGCAGCTGGGACCATAGTCACCAAGAAAACAATTGGTAACACACTACGCCGTGAAGGACTGAAATCCTGCAGCACCCGAAAGGTCCCCCTGCTCAAGAAAGCACATTTGCATGCCCGTCTGAAGTTTGCCAATGAACATCTTAATGATTCAGAGGACAACTGGGTGAAAGTGTTGTGGTCAGATGAGACCAAAATGGAGCTCTTTGGCATCAACTCAACTCGCCGTGTTTGGAGGAGGAGGAATGCTGCCTATGACCCCAAGAACACCATCCCCACCGTCAAACATGGAGGTAGAAACATTATGCTTTGGGGGTGTTTTTCTGCTAAGGGGACAGGACAACTTCACCGCATCAAAGGGACGATGGACGGGGCCAAGTACCGTCAAATCTTGGGTGAGAACCTCCTTCCCTCAGCCAGGGCATTGAAAATGGGTCGTGGATGGGTATTCCAGCATGACAATGACCCAAAACACGGCTAAGGCAACAAAGGAGTGGCTCAAGAAGAAGCACATTAAGGTCCTGAAGTGGCCTAGCCAGTCTCCAGACTTTAATCCCATAGAAAATCTGTGGAGGGAGCTGAAGGTTCGAGTTGCCAAACGTCAGCCTCCAAACCTTAATGACTTGGAGAAGATCTGCAAAGAGGAGTGGGACAAAATCCCTCCTGAGATGTGTGCAAACCTGGTGGCCAACTACAAGAAACGTCTGACCTCTGTGATTTCCAACAAGGGTTTTGCCACCAAGTACTAAGTTAAGTTTTGCAGAGGGGTCAAATACATATTTCCCTCATTAAAATGCAAATCAATTTATAACATTTTTGACATGCGTTTTTCTGGGTTTTTTTGTTGTTATTATGTCTCTCATTGTTCAAGTAAACCTACCATTAAAATTATAGACTGATAATTTCTTTGTCAGTGGGCAAACGTACAAAATCAGCAGGGGATCAAATACTTTTTTCCCTCACTGTACATCTGCATTGCTTGGTATTAACAGGAATGAAGAGGTGCACCACACTGCCGCCTACCTCAACTCAACTGACCCCATTACAGCGGGGGAGTGGAAATCAGCTGGGGTGATTAATATTCATCATCGGCTGACAAGCTGAGCACTTCTATGGGCCCCAGACGTCGGCAGCGTAGAAACCAGAATGCAGTGGGAGCACCAAAAACTTGAGAGATGAAAGTGACGACTTCTGGAATTATTAAATATAGGCGACAGCTCATGTAGGCCTACATGTACAGCACACAGAGAATAGGTAGCTCATATAACAACAAAAACAGACATTATAATGACAAACTGGTTAATTCTATCAAGTTAATTAAGTGACTGTTTATTGTTCTATTGGCCCTTAACAACGGGAATGCAAATCTATAGACATAAGCAACCAATGAGCATTGACATTGTATTAACTGCTCGTGTTTTTATCTGTATGCTTTTCTACCCTGTTATAGCTTACGCACATCTACACAAACTACTCTGATTTGGCAGTAGGTGCTATATATATGCAATACTCCATGTATGCACCGGGACCAAGACGAAATTAGTAGCATTAAGCGACCAAGTCACTTCAACTTTACACGATGCAAAAAAACAAATAAAATATACATTAGCTTTGATTCAGAGGATGGTAACATGATGTACCTCGTTAAATTCATTCATTCTGGGAGAGTGTTCGCTGACTGGAAGGCTGACCAGAAGCTTTGGTCATACTCTCCGCTTCTGTGGTTCACTCTAAAATTCTGTCTATACTTTTACCTTTGATCATTGCCACACTTGGGTTTTATTTTCAATCATATGCAACGTACGATACATCGTGTTAACCAGAACCCTGAACTGCATTATGCGTTATTCCACAGTGATCTTGTACGACACCGAAAAAAACACCACTGTACAATACACCATAGTAATAATTTAACTCATTGTTTGTGTTTAAACGGTGTTTTTTGCTCTGCTACAACACACATTCTGCTTCTATTTAAGCAATGGCACAAAGAAGAATTATGGGTAAAAATATTCAATCGCAGCAATCCAATAGTTCACGAATACAATTCAAAATAACAGCTTTATGAGTCGCCCATCAGTTTACGGGATTTGCTTTATGCAAACGTTATCGCGAGAGGTTAATGTCAGCTTGGATTCACTTCACCAGTGGACAAAAAAAACACAGAAACCCGGTCTGTAGTGTTTGGGAAGGACGTGCAAGCGAAGAGTTTATACCATACAGCAACACAACACTACACCTTCCAGTCTGCCCAGCGGATGGCTCAGTGTTAAGGTATGTATGGTTAAACGTCATCAATGATGGCAGATGGGAGATAGCACCTTGAGCACACAGCCCATAAAGCACCAGTTCTCAAACGAAAACAGTTAAGCTTTTTAAACACCAATTGACACCTGACTTACATTGTACGAGGCGCAATATGCAAAAAGCTTGAATTTAGGAGAATGGGAGAAAAAGACTGAAAAATTCTGATCGTGAGCTCAGACGTGAATAGCAGCCGATGATGTGCTTATTTTGTCAGTTTATCTTTTCATTGCGTTTCAGTGCAGTGGCAGCAATGTAGCTTCTTTTTTATTCTCATCATCACTGCCATCACCATTGTTTAATTGCACAAATTAATAAAATCGGATGTATTGATGTACTTTGTTGCAAGTGGGATTCCTTTGAAATACATTTTTGCTTTATTTCAAAGGGATCGTTAGACACTATCTGATGGTGGTAATTCTTGCCTACAAGACCAGTAAAAAAATTAAGTGTTCTTGCTCATGATATCACATGCGATCTGGCTGACAGCTAACTCCCGACAGAAAATATCACAGGCCTGCATGAATCCAACCATTTAACCTTGTGTAAACTTGCTTGGTGGTGAGGGAAATGACTCGTACACTACCGGCTGCCATAGCCAACAATGCAACTATAATTCGGGAAACGGTATCACTTTCAGCTGAACACATTTAGTACTTTAGTTTCCAGATGCCCCGCCGTGCCCTCCCCCACTTGCTTTTTGCACTCAAGCTTATTTCGTGTTATGGACCGCAGACGTGGTGCTTATTGCATGAGCATTTTGTGCTGCACCGCTCCAAGGTGGGCGAGGGAGATAACAGGTAGAGAAGGCGGCTGAGAGGGAGGGAGGCAAGGGTAATGGGAAGGCGCCGCCGTCACTTCCAGAGCTGGGTGCTCAGCGTGCGGCCAGCTGCGGGGGGCGCGGGGCAGCCTGGGCCTCCGCTGGCACCGGGGGGCCAGGCGAGGACGCCCCCAACCGTGACGCCGGATGGAACGAGGCCCAGCCCACTCATCTGCTCCGTCATCTGCAGGTGGGAGAGAGGGCAGCGGCGGACGTGGGCATTCCGGCGAGCAAGAGCCTCGTTACGATGTCTGAGCAGCGTTTGTGTCGTGTCTGTCTTTTGAGAATAACTTGAAATGTGAAGCTTGTGAGTTTAAGAGGCAACTCTCTCTCTATTGTGTGCTGGGAGAACAGGGCAGAAGGGATCCGCCCCCCCCACCCACCCTATCTCTCCACCCACCCCCCACCGCAATTAGCACTTGAATACAAAATGACAAGAAAAATAGTTTAAGTAAAAGTTGCCATGTCATGCACATTGGTTAAAATTGTGATACAATAGAATTGGTTTTTACATGTCATAAAAATACTAAAACACTCAAAAATGTACAAGGCAAACATCCAAATTGGGACACTTCTGAAATGTGTTGAGGGTCGATTGAGAAATTCCTATGAAAATAGTTCAGCATTAGATTGTATTCTTTTTCAATCTAAAACATGCATCTACATGTAACGCTCGATTGCCCTGTAGGCAGACTGCCGGGTTGTGGATTAATTATGCTTGGAAAAAATATATTTACAAGCACCCTGGTTCTATTAGTAGCTGTTCCTCACTTGTCCAGGGCCAATGACTCAGTGACCACAAGACAACGAACGCCCGCAAGCAAATGTAATTGTTGAATTTTCCCGTGGTGTACTAATTGACTGTATTTTGATTTAAAGCTTTCGTGACTGCAGGGATTCATATTCTTGGTTCTTTCGGTAAAGTCACGTAGAAGGGAAACAATAAAATAATAAAAATATAAAACAATAAAATTCTCACGACGTTTCGACTGCAACACAAGCAATCATCCCCCCTCCTCTATTCCGAACATAGATGGACTCGTCCATCTGAATAACTGCCAAATCGCTCTCCGTGGTGCTAACGTTAAAAAACCCGCCACTTTTTTCAAATTGTCTTGCTGTGGTTTTCACACCTGATGGTGATTGCTTGTGTTGCAGTCGAAACGTCGTGAGAAATGTATTGTTTTATATTTTTTTATTTTATTGTTTCCCTTCTACGTGACTTTACCGAAAGAACCAAGAATATAATTGACTGTATGTAACGTATTATTGGTTCTTTCTGTAAAGTCACGTGGAAGGAACCAAGAATATGAATCCCTACAGTCACGAAAGCTTTAAATAAAAATGTATGTAACGTATTCTCTGTATAGTTCCAAGTAATAATGATGACCTCATTCTGAATCTTAATCCCCATTCTAAGTAGATAAACAATACATTTTGTATAGCCCAATTTACATATATGTTAAATTTTTCACGTTTTTTTTTATTCGGGCAACTCTCCCCAGCGCTACCCCAGAATAATCAGCAGTTGACTGTGACTTACTTGGTGTTGCACAAACTCATTATGGGCTATTGGATGTCAAAGGCAGCATAGGTCCATATCTGGCAATCTTAAGATTTTCATTTGCATACTTATGAAATATTAACATTGGCAAAATTAGACCCCTTCGACAATCTTTAGGCCAAGATATAGTCCGTAAAAGGTGTGTCTTTATATCACCATAAAAGTGCGTTGTAATCAAACTAAATTCTACGAATTTTGTATATTGACACATTTTTACCCGATCTTAATAATGCATAAATGTCTAAAGGATGTTAAATGTCTAAAATATTATAACTATGTTTGCAATTATTTGCATGCTTGTAATTGAAAAAGCATGAGACCCATGATAAAACATGCATCTTTTGTAGAGAAAATGGGTCACTTTTGAATGGGTTTCTGAAAAAGGATCTACTAAATGTTACACTCACGACAATAGTTGTAAAAAAACTATAATTTGAAGAAAATTGCATGAATGCACCAATCTTCATGAGCTGACCTTGGTGATGTAGAGAATGAACAAAAATTACCACATTCCTCCTGGAGTGTCTTTAATAGATTATTAACTAACTGGAAATGTTTCAAAGGTGTTAATCAACTATGTAATATATATTTTTTAATTATGCACTTTTATTTTATGAAGCTCATGTATTTTTTAATTACACCCCCATATGAAACCAAGCCTACTTTATCAATGCCACATTGATGTTTATTATTCATTAATGATGAACTTGTGGATTTTCACGGGTTTTACTATCCAATTTATGTACATAACTGGCCCTTAATATCCCATGCCACGGAATGAATCATAGTTGGCTGCGCCACAAGATTTTACAATTTAGGATTCACATTATTGTTTAATTCCAGATTAGAATAAATGCAGATTAATTCAGTTCAATTCAGTTCATTGGACTCCGATGGTCAAAGAAATACCGAAATGTAAGGTACATAGCTTTTATTAAGATAAATAGTAGATATTCTTAGCTCTTTCGGTAAAGTCACGTTGAAGGGAAACAATAAAATAATAAAATATATATAAAACAATAAAAATTCTCACGTTTCGACCATAACACAAACGGTCATCATCAGGTGTGAAAACCCAACGGCAAGAAACATTTGAAGTAAGTGGCGGTCCGCATTTATTTATTTATTTGTAAACGGTGCTTTTATTTATAAAAAACCGTTAGCACCACGGGCAGCGATTTGGCAGTTCATTTATAAGGACGAGTCCATCTATGTTCTGAAAAGAGGAGGGGGGAGACGAAAAATTAATGTATGCTGTCTGAAAGCCACCGTAAGCGTGAACAATCAATTAAGACCTGAAATGGTTTATCAAGTCCTTTCAATGATTGCTAAGCCAGAATCCATCTTCTCGGTTGAAATTGTCTCTGTGCTTGTATATGTGGATAGTCTCATGAACGAATCTCTCATGGTAGCCAGATGGCTACCATGTTTCCCTTCAACGTGACTTTACCGAAAGAGCTAAGAATATGAATTACTGCAGTCACGAAAGCTTTAAATCAAAAAATAAATAGTAGATGGCAATATTATTTAAAGTTTAGAACAACAGCATGCTGTTCACGTAGATTTCTGTAAGAAAAAAAAGGGATATAATCTGGTTTCCCTGTGAACATAAGTGTCCTGCACCAACGCACCCGAACTTACAGGCACCAACGCACCCGAACTTACAGGATAAGAGGGTCAACAGCATATATTGTCAAGGTATGGTGAATCTGAAGTTGCGTCTCTTTATGCAAGTAAAGTAATTCATTAACTAATGTCTAGAAAAACACACGGGGTTGTTCATCTGATAAAATTGAACATATATAAACGCGTTTCAATTAACTAAAATGAGCATTTTAAAAAATATATTCTATGATGGAGTTGAGTAACACCCTTAAACACGTAACAGTTTAATACCATATTAAAGATATTTCGGGTGAAATTTAGTCATTTTCATTCACTCTCTATATCACCAATTAAGTCCCACACACAACATGTTTAAGATAGGCACATTTTTTAAAAATGTTATCCTCAACACCATCTGTAATACATTAATTTGGGCAAAGTGACCCATGTTTATAAAATATACTTTTTTAACTTGGGTCCCATGCATTTAAAATTATAGACATGTAAAATAAAAGAAATGAACGTTTGTAATTTAAAATTGTAGTCAGTATAACAGCCATCATAATTCGGAATAGATTTCTAATATGATTAGATCAAAATTAGTCGAACATTTCAAGGCTCCAGTTTAAAGAAATGTAATGGATATTCAAAAATCACTCGAGAGTTATTTTATGGAATCCACATGTTTGAAGTGTCACAGAGAATTGAAAATGTGGTTGTGTTTGAAGAAATAAGAGGGATCTCTTGCTTTTTATTTCAAGAAATTCTGATACGCTCAGATGTTCTACTTCTGGATTATTGGTCCAGCTTACATGGAATGATCCTTTTAAAGCAATTTTGTTGTGGCCAATTCGCATCACACGAGTCATTCCAATTAATAATTCCACCAATTGATGCAGGTGACATAACCGCCGGCTGCTAATCAAGAAAAATTTATTCACATTTAACAGTAGCCACTCAAGATTCATGCCTTTATTCTTCCAACGGGATATTGTTAATTCAACCTAAAATAATGCTAATTTGTAACAAAAATGCCGATATAGTTATTTTTATACAAAGCCAGCATATGGCATTTGGCGTTTAACCATGATAACAAATCACTTAATTTAACAAATTAAAATGAACAAAAAAAAACGTTGAGTTACTCAAAGACATGCAAATTTCCACAACTTAAATGTGTTAAATATCACCAATGTTAATTGTGAGATGCAGGATGAGTGCACGGGAGGCCCATTTGCCTGCCCCGTCCTATAAAAATGGTATGGTGCCTTAAATGTATCACATCCAGAGCTCCTACCCTTGCACACTGATTTATTTGGCAAGAGGCAATGACTGGGCTACTGAAGATCTCACAGGGACTTAACACCAAATGCTTGGCTGGCCACTCTCTGAAGAACAATTTTATTGTGTCACCAATCTTTGGGCCAGATCAGCCCTGCTTATCTTGTGTTCTAATCTCGTCTCAAGCAATAGATATCACAACACAGTGTCCCAAGGGTGCGCAGTGATGCTAATACTCATAAGATGTATTCCGTGTACAAGCACAATTATAGGGGAAGTTTCATATGATGTTGTTATGAGGAAAAATAAGTAAAAATATGAAGGGATAAGGGAGGTAGTATGTAGTCATGAACAGGAATGTCACTCGACTCACCTGACCAAGGCCCCATTGCATGGGATTTGGGTTCGGATTTCCCACTGTGCTTGTGCAGCCCGACGGAGGCACTCCTGGTGCAATCCCCACACCTCCACCCCCAACACCAATACCAGAAATTGCTTGGGCAGAGTACACTCCACCAGGTCCCGGGAACGCCATGCCTGGCTGGCCGTAACCAAAAACACCTGTAAAAATAATAATAATTAAATTGTCAGATAATAATGCCATGAGCTCCAGCCCATTGTTTTTTTATGCTGTCCAAATAAGGCGCGTGAGGAGAGTAATTATTTTACGTACATGCCCCCATGTTCAAGTAAGTTTTGCATGGTTCTTCATTTCCATTGGTAGCCCCTAAACTGGCTGTGGAAAATCCATGATCCTATGCCAAGAACCAATACCTCCATAGGATAGCCACTGTGAAATTTCCCAGAAACATGGTACAATGAATCCTCTCAAATCCTGATATTGGGATATGCCGGAAAGGTTCGTAAAAAAATCATTAAAATATCCACTTTTTACTCATAAATACGAATAATTATATTATGAAGATGAGAGGCCGCAATGTTGTGACTTGCAGAGCGCATGGTAGATGGGTGCAATCAGTAAGTCCATAATATTGGGCTTGAATTCACTGCGAGATTGATCAAATTTACTTTCAAATGTAGCTAATTTATGAGCCTTCCATAATTGAAAAGGTGATGATGGTAAGCGAGTCAGAATAAAATATAGGAACAAGTGCAATGTTTTTACTGTGAATTGTAAATCGTAGTTTAGTGTTTTGCTAATAGTTATTCCATGGTAATTAAATCTAAGAGTATAGGATTCATTAAATGTAGCATGTCAATGTTTAAAAAAATAATTGTATATTGGACAATCCGAAGCGTCATAAATCCCTTGCCCTTATTTCGTTTGACTTCGAGACATTTTCATCATTATCAGCCATGATCAACCAACTGTTGGATCAAGACCTCCGCAGGCCACTGGCGCTTCCCACTGCACACCCAACAGCAACAGTAGGTATTTCATTCCTCGATAAGTAAAAATTGGAGTTGACCACCGAGTGGAATTTGAACGTATGACCCCCAAACGTGAGTCAAAGCCATTATAATCAACCGACTGATTTGTAGGTGGTAAAAATAATTACTTGTAGACACTACCCAGTCATGCATGTGCATTCAACCGCTCACCCTGAGAGTTGACAGCAGCTGTGGCAGGCGGCGGGGGTTGCGACGCGTACAGCGATAGGATGGAGTCTTTGCTCAGCTGGCGCTTCAATGCATCGTCGGCACTTGATGCCGGGCTAGCGTCTGCTTCCGCCTGCACACGGAGGGGTTATTCGGCGAGCTTCTCATAGAGCCAGTTTGCATGGAGTAATGTGCATGAAATTTCAAGGAAAATGATAAAATTGCACTTGTCTGGTGTGGAGTGGATGATAAATAATAACTTCAACCTGTAACGCGAACAGTATTCGTTCACTCTCGTAGAGAAAGAACGACTCAGGGACACAAGGAATCTCACACACAAGCAGGAAGGCAGCCACGCAATCAGCCGCCACCAACAACTGCCAAAGTTCTGCGGGCCTGTATATATATAAAGGTGTTTTAAGATAATTAATGAGACCCTTGCTTGGGGGTCTCAGCAACAGGTCATTGTGTACCATTAAAATCAAATCGTTAAATCAATTGCAAAAAATATATATCTGAAGTCACCCAGATCTCCTTTGCAACAGGTATCATGGATCTCAAAGGACTCTTTATCTGGTTTAATTGAAACATAATCAGTCAACTCTAAGACGATATACATTACTGTATTCTCGAATTATGTTATAGAAATTGGTATTTTTTGTTTTCCTTTCCTTTGTCAATTCATTAAATTCGAGACCCTCCCCCACACCATGTTAGTTGTGGAGGTCGTGTGCCAATACTTCACCAGGCTGGTCACTATGGGTTGATGTGATGGGGGTGCAGATGGTAGGGGGTGGGGCGGATGATAGGGGGTGCTCCCAGGAAAGGTTCAGACTTCACTCGCCGCCGACACCAGGTTCACAGTGGAAGTGCACTAACCACTGTGCCACCACTCTCCCCGATAGCCTTATAGCACTGTACAAGTGGATCTATTATTTCATTTAACGTTATAATTGTTTGTGTTACAATAAGATCATCATTATAAGCACATTTACCACTGCCATGTTTGTCATCTCCTACCCTGTAACCAGTCCCCCCCCCCCCATCAATCTACAATCATCACCATCAACCATACATAAATATTAAAAAATAAAACCCAGCAAAAAAAACCTACTTAACATGCTATGGAGAAAATCACACGAGCGAACGTATAATTATAAACGCCTGAACTCCTCAACCATGAGCTGTTGCTCATTTTGGGTTATGCATACTGTATATAATTATGAATATGGATTTAATGAGCTCTATACATTTGTGTGCGTGTGTGTGCTTGGAATCGTTTGGTCGACATGCATCACTGCCTTCTTGGAAAGCTAATATAAAGAAGCGCTCGGAGAAAATGTGACGATTATCTTTGCACGAGGAACCTCGCGTGTGTGTGTGCGTTTTATCCTTTCACGTGCCAGGAGCATAGCAAGTAGCGCACGCCAGCTTTGAATCGCGGGAAAATTTCAATGCAGCGTGCTCCCCCCTCCCCCCTCCAGGGTTTGCGAAGAAAACATGCGAAGTAAAGAGGAAAATAAATAAACAAGCACCGTGCATTTAATTCAATACGTGTTGGCATTGGGTTACATTCCCCTCGTGTCTAGTGAAAACCTTCCCAACGTCAACTAAGATCTGTACTGCCAAACATATGTACTGTCGTCGCAGGACGCCCATGAGCCTAACAGTGCATTGGGCCCTTCCTGCTGAAATAGATACAATATAAATCTAACTCGGCTTGATAGGAAAACCTGATTGATGCCTTCCCCCTGGTCACCTCAATTTACTTGCCCAACGCAGCCGAAACTTAGTACAAGATTACAGGCAAACGGAGCTTGCTTCGTGGACGCGTGGCGAGTGGTGGTGGTGATGGGCCACGGTTTGGGGAGAATGTAGCGTCTGTTTCAGGGTCGCTGTAGATTGCATCACCGCACATACGGCAGCACGAACAGGCGTGCGCGTGTGTTCGTCTCACAAGTTGCACGCATTTGCTCTGGCAGCGGGAGTTAAGCTAACCGCACGGCATAGTGAGTAGGGCCGTATATCTATGTCATGGTCACGTAGAGGAGACTTTCCTGGATTTGCTGCTGCACAGTAACTAAAAACGTGCACACTCCCCTCGTAGAGACAAGTGAAAATGTCAATACGGTGTGTGCTAAATAAGCGACCATTACGTTGTGAACTGATGGTCGTTTTTAATAAAGAGCAAACACAATGATGGAAGTGTGTGTGTGTGAGCTTGTGTGCATTACAACCGGGGAGATTTTCACAATTCATAGCCTGAAATTACAACTCTATTTTTGGAATCTAATACATTTCTGAGCAGGGCCGTGGGATCGACATAATTGTAGAATTACGGTTTGGGCCTGGCATGGCATTCTGCATGGAGCCTAGGCAAGAGGGCAGGGACTGCGGGGTCTGGCCATCCAAAGTGGAATTTGCAATGTAAATATATAGCATCGGCTATTGGATTCAATGGCATATCTGTTCGATACGGCTGGGCTGGTATTGGCCAGGATTGTAGCAACCCAGTACTGACCAGAATCGACATTGAAGCGTATTACACAGTCATCTCAGGATGACCACCCAGCCAACCGGCACCATGCTGACGACCACTAAGAACACTGGGATCAGGGGACTACCACTGGGGTCATCAAGACTACCAGTGGAACTACTCGGACTTACTGCTACGATCACGGGGCCCACCTGCCAATGGCAAGCATGCAGAATTGGCCCGATTCCGCACATAATCCAGAGTGATATTCAATCAGGATGACCTAGGCTAAAAAGGGAACAACCAACTATCCAACCGAGTATATAGATGGGACAGCTACAAGTATATCAAGCCTTTGCTCTAGCTCTTCCATGGATCCCCAGCCGAGAATGGGTATTGGTAAAGGACTGTGCCCAGGCCAGCCTACAATAGACAGTCGAGGCCCCATGGGCCAACCCCTTCTTGCCTGAATGCCTTGCTGGAATTGAGGTGGAATCGGGCCAAGTCCACACGCTATGAATACGCAATGCATTTCTACTGCGAATCGAGCTACTGCGATTCTAGCTGCACGATTCAGCCTGAATTTCCATTCTGGCTGGCTGGACGTGGCGAAGCTGAGCCAAGCTAAGCTGTACATAGCCGTAGCTTAGCTGAGCTAGATTTTCAAATGTAAGTGATAAAGAATTAATTAAATTTCACACACTTTTCATGGCAGAATCCCTCCTAGAATCCTATTCAAATTAATGTAGATTTCAAGGTGGGAATCACCCGAAGAAGAATCACAATGTCTCCAGTCATTTTCTAAGGTTACTGTGGTATGGCAATAATTCAGTGCATCGTATAAGGTGTATGATAATCACATATTTTGAAAAATATCATGAATTTATTATGGAAGCTCGTTTCTTTTTCCCCAGTAATTGGTTGCTTAATGAATTATTTTTTTACTTTAAAGCACAACAAAGTTAGTGCTTTGCAAAATGTTTTCCAGAGTAATTGAAGGGAATGGTGGTTAAATTACCTCATCATATCCACAGTGCAGGTAAATATTTTATTACTTCCAGCATAACTCACAGCTTGTGTTGAACGCTCTATAAGTTGTAAAGTCGCAGTAATTTAAATACTCAGGGTAAGCTTTCTTTGAGCGAACTAAAGTAGAAAAACCTTTAAATAATCTTTATTTGTACTGGAAGTACAGCAGAGCGCACAAATTACAAAATAAAATTATGAAATTAAATTATTGTCATGAGAAACTGATTTCGTAATCATCGTCGTATCGTGAAAATTAATATCATGCCGTGGAGGACGAGGATTATATTGTGACAAAACCCAGTGGAATCCTAGGAATTGGATATGATTCCTGCAGGAATTCCCCAGCCCTAGTACACCTTAGGCAGCTGAATTCTTGGCACACCCGGGATAAACAATAAAACCCCATTCAGTAAGTGAAAATTCATCATTCATAAATTAAATACACAGACAGACATGAGAGTGCTTTTGGAATAGGCACGGCAATAAAAATATGCACGTGCATTATCCAGGATATGGACTGCATTGCCTTCAGTTCAGGCTAGGAAGTATAACGCCATCGAAAGTTTTGAGCTTTCATTAGCAACTCAGCCCTGCGGGGTTTGGCATAACAGGTACCAAAGATGAATTCAAATGCCAGAATTGCCCGGGCAGACGAGCAATATTATCAAAGCAATTTGGATGCAAGCAGACATCCATCTTTCTTGCTCAAAGCACCCAGATCTGTGTCAAAGACAGATGGCCAATACATTTTACAATGACGGAGAAAAGTGTGCGGAGCCCACGTGGGATAGGGTCAGGAGCTCAGTAGGGGATTTTGAAATGGATAGCCTCATCATGCAGTGGAAAACGCTGGATCGTGGAAACATCGAACCCGAGTATTGACATGGATTTGAACCTTTTACACGCGATTAATTACGTTTACATTTTAAATAATGGGCATTTGTTTACTCTGAACATTAAAGTACGATATTCAACAAAAAGCAGTATTTTATAAATAAGCGTTTTCACTGGCATCCTATTCGACGTAATAATATTAAGCAAGTATTAACCACGGAGGGTGCATCTTGAATATTACTTGATACCATGCGAACAAGTAAATAAAGGTGAGTTCAAATGTACGGTTATAAATAATGTTTGACTCAGTCCCTTCACTATCCAAAGTTTTTTAAGAATCAGAATCCTCACAGCCCTCGGAAGAACCCCCCCTCAGGGTGAGCACCGAGGGCCAGAAAGTTCCCCTCCTCCTTCGTGGTTTTTCTGTCCGCCCCTCTTCCCCAGAAACCACTGGGTGCTTTGTACCTGGCTTGTGTGCTTACCTCAATGAAAAAAAAAACCCGTTAAATAATACAAATACATAACTTTTTTAACGAGGCAACGCAGTGGTGGGGGGGGTGGGGTGGGGGGCGTTACATCACGCCGTGTCACGTGCTCGAACAACGTGAGCTCAACCGGGTTCTATAAAGCAGGGGGTAGAAAGATGGGGAGCAGCAGGCTCGCTGCCCCAAAAAAAGGCCAGGGTGCCACCCGGAGGGGGTAAAGTAAGAATCATCAACGTTTGAAATATTCCACAGCACAAAGTGCATTTTACCAAGGAGAAAACCATGCACGTCGTCGTTCTCAATCAATCC